CTGCTCGACATCTCGTATGCCGTCTTCTGCAAAAAAAAAAAAAAAAAAAACAAGAAAACAAGTTTAGTCTAATAACTCCAAAGAGAAAAACTGTAATTCATACAAAACTGTTCATAATACCTAAAACACGACTAAGAAAACTATGCCATGTTAACAATATTAAGAATTGTACAGCAATTTTTAAATATTATGAAATTAATATAAATATGCATGCAAAATTATGTACAATAATAAATACTAGAAGAAAATATATTACTGTTGTCATCAAGTCAATGCTGACTCACAATGACCCCATGTACAGCAGAATAAAACACAATCCAGTCCTGTGCCATCTTCACATTGTTGCTATGTTTGAGCCAACAATTGTTGCAGCCACTGTGTCAATTCATCTCATTGAGGGCCTTCCTCTTTTTTGTTGCTCCTTTACTTTACTAATGATGTCCTTCCTCCAGGGTCCCTCCTGACAACATATCCAAAGTATCAGAGAAGTCTCTCCAACCACACATTTAAAGAGCATTCAGGCTACATTTATTCCAAGATAGATATGTTCACTACTCTGGGAATCCATGGTATATTTAATATGTCTTGCCAGCACCATCATTCAACAGCATCAATTCTCAGTCTCTTTATTCACTGTCCAGCTTTCACACGCATATGAGGTGTAAAAATACCACAGCTTGGGTATTTTTGAAGTGCACTTTAGTCTTCAAGGTCACATTGCTTTAAGGAGGTCTTTTGAGGCAGATTTGTCGAATACAATACATCATTTGATTTTTTGGCTACTGCTTCTCTGGGCAATGATTGTGGATCCAAGTAAAATGAAATCCTTGACAACTTCAATTTTTTCTCCAATGATCATGATATTGCTTAATGGTCCAGTCGTGAGGATTTTTGTTTTCTTTAAATTGAGGTGTAATTCATACTGACAACTGTAGCCTTTGATCTTCATCAGTGCATGCTTCAAGTCCTCTTCAAGCAAAACTGTGTCATCTGCATATCACAGGTTGTTAATAAGTCTTCCACCAATCTTTATGTCATGGTTTTCTTCATAATCCTGCTTCTTGAGTTACCTGCCCAGCATACAGATTGAGTAAGTATGGTGAAAGGACACATATTTTCAGATTTTAAACCGTGCAGTATCCCCTTTTTGTTTGAATAACTGCCTCTTGGTCTGCATACAATTTCCACATGAGCACATTTACGTGTCCTGGAATTCCCATTCTTCACAATGTTATCCATATCTGTTATGATCCACAAAGTTGAATGCCTTTGCCTAGTCAAGAAAACATAGGTAAACGCCTTTCTTGTATTCTCTGTTTTCAGCCGATTCATCTGACATCAATAACATCCCTTCTTCCACAATCTCATCTGAAACTGACTTGAATGGCTAACAGTTTCCTGTCCATGTACTGCTGCAACCATTTTTTAATTATCTTCACAATTTTATTTACATGTGGTGTTAATATAATCTAGATTATTCCATAATCTGCATTCTATTGGATAACCTTTCTTTGGAATGTCTATGTATATGTATCTTTTTCAGTCACTTGGTCAGATAGCTATCTTCTAAATCTCTTGGCATACAGTGAGTCCTTCCGGTATTGCATCCATTTGTAGAAATTGGTATTCAGTCAATTCCTGGAGCCTTGTTTTTCACCAGCTCCTTCAGCACAGCTTGGACTTCTTTCTTCCTTCAGTACCATCGGTTCTTTATCAAATGCTATCTCCTGAAACGGTTGAACATCAACCAATTCTTTTTGGCACAGTTGTTAGGCAGGGAGGTAAGACAGGAGGGGTGCCCTGGGGGCAGGCCCAAAGGGAGGAGAAAAGTGACAGAGGTGGAATATTTAAGGAGGTTAATGAGCTAACACCTGTAACCTCTCACAACTGCTTGTGAGATCTGGCCAATTAAAATTAAGCAGAATAACCACCGACTGTGGGATATTTAAGGAGCTAACACCTGCAACTGCCCACAACCACCTGTGAGATCTGGACAATCATCAGAGTCACAGGACCTTGACCCTGCCTTAAGAACACCCCTTTCAGGAAGTATAAAAACCAGTAAGTGAGGCACAGTTTGGCATCTTTCCCATTCCACAGGAAAGACCTGTCTCCACTCTTCTGGAGACAACTTTTGCTTTAAATGGCCTTCTCTACTTGTGGCAAGAGGTCCATTTCCCCTCTGGAAACATACTTTGCTTTTAATAAAGGCTTGTGTGATTGACACTTAGTTGAGTTTGTCAAGCCACCACCAAAAGTCATTCACTCCTATAGCTCCCCTGGGACCGCTGACCCACAGATTGCTCGCTCACAAAGATTCTTCCCACAAGCAGGGTGAGGACCAGAAAGAGGGCTTCTTAGCCTGGATAACATTTTGGTGCCAAAACCCAGGACAGAAGACAATGAGTGGGTCCAAGCAAAAGCAAGTGAGAGAAACAGAAGTAGTCTTCAAGGTACAGAATGAGTGAGCTTGTATGTTTGGCAGAGCATGTGTGCTTGGCACCAGCTTTTTTTTAAAAAAAAAAAAAACAGGCTTTTAGGCTTCTTACTTTTCTATGGTAGTGTGAGTGTCTGGCTTCAACTGCTTTAGGTATTTTCTGCACACAGGCACCAATGGGCTCAGAGGGAAAAATAAGAGAAGTAGTCCCTTCGGAGACTAGCCAGTTTACTGCATCATCTAGAAGATTGTTTTCAGATTTGATGGATTGTAGGACTTAAGTGTAGTAAGACCACCCTATAGTCCCCTCTGTGTCAAAGGAGATTTATCTGATAGGAAAAGTTTTGAGCAGCTGGAGAATGCTAGTGACAGAGGCCAGGTGCCAGCAATTCCATGCTAATTATCTTGGTAGATGCCAGAAGTAGAGGCTTGCATCCTAGTATAGGAGAAGTGGTGGTGGGACACCAATGTTAGTACCAGAGGAGACGGTACTGGTATCGCATGGTCACAGGATAGGAGACAGAAAGGAGGGGATGGTGGGCCATGTTGATTGCTTGCCGTCACGCATGGGCTCCCGCTGTGTAAGACAAAGAGCCACACACATAGCCTTCCACAGGAAAAATTTAATAGAGATGGGGTAATAGCCCAAGGGTATTACCCAGGATTCCCCGTGATCCTCAGGATCAGAGTGGGGCCACCCAACAATCCTGCTGTACACAACCAAAGCCAGGGACACTTGGCTTTCGATATAAACCTTCCTTTCAAAACCCTTCTTTTATTCTCTTTT